GGGGGGGAGGGGGAGGGGAAGGGGGAGGAGAATAGAATAGGATAGGAGTTTCGATGGCCATCAGGTCAAGGGAAATTTGTAATTGGTCGAAACCCTCACCCCACCAGGTCATCCTCATTTATAAATACCTGAAAATTGGGAAAAATTTTCTCATATTGTGTTCAAATACCGGAGCGTCAACTATGAAGAGTTCTTTCTGTGACTAGTGTTTGGCCTTGAGTGTTATTTTGGAATATAAAGTTTTAATAGAGTGATTACGGAAGATGTTATCAACGCCGACGAGAATGAACGTCTTCCTTCAGCGAATGTTGAGGAAGAATGACGACGAGGTGAGTTAAATTCAGGATTTTTTGCAGTTTCAATTTTAATACTTTCCGGAAGTTGAAATTAATTTGCTGGACTGGGAGTGAACACCGCTTTTTCTTTCTTCTGAGTGAGGATGATGATAAAAGTGGCTTGAACTCGAAAGAAAAAGACTGGGAAATGATGAGATGGTTCATTCTAGTGAAAATAATTTGATTCCAAGTTTTCGCGAGGGGATGAGGGGGTCCCTGAGTCCTCAATTTCGTCGTGAAAAGACGAACTAGTCTGAATTTTATTTTTTTGGAAGCAACATTCATCTTTGAATCGTCCTGGAGATTCTCATCTTCTCATTTATATTTTTCTTCAATATTTGCCGACTCAATGACGCGATTTTGATAACTCTGAACTCGTTTTAAAACTGAAAAAAATATCTTGAAAACAGCTCCCTCGTAGAATTTCTCTCTTTATTTTTAAAAATTCTTTTTATTATAAAAAATTCAACTAAATGAGATTTTCTGACCAAATGATAATTAATCAATCAACATTTGCAGTGCGAAACCGAAATAATAATGGAAACTAATCACCAACAAGTCGAGTACTCGCCGCGCAGTAAGTCCAAATGGATGCGGAAGTTCGGTGCGTCACCAAGCAAAAACAAGAGCTTCACCACGCAATCGACTACCCCCACGGTGCACCGTACCGACCCCATGCCTATAAAACGCGCCACGACATTACCAACCCCCCAGGAGGCCGAGGATTTGGGAAAAATTATCCATGAGTTTGAGATAAACTACCTGTCACCAACGAAACAGATCACGCAGCAGGAGGCCGAGAGCACCGGCAAGTTTGTTAAAAAAATGGTTGCGGCATTTGAGCAGAAGTACAAGAGCTTCAAGAACCCTGAGGTAATAATTCCCTGCATCACACCAATGTTATTAGTAACGAAGCGATAAAACGCTTGTCAATTTGGACTATCGGCCAGTTTTCCGTGAATATCTCTAAATCTAAGGGAGCTAGCGAAATTTTTGTTAGAACCTGTTTCACAGCCCTCAATTCGCTCTGCAAAAAAGGTCTTTACGAAAATTTCGTTATCTCCCTTAGATTCGGAGATATTCCTCAAAAAGATCAAGGCATTAAATTTATCCCTTCTTTTCCCGCAGAATGAAACCGACGAAAACCGCTGGAAACGCCGCAGCCTGCCAACAGTGTCCGAGCGTCATCAGGAGGCCCGCAACAACTTCTTCAACGAGACGTACCTCATCAAGCCCTTGGATGACTCGTACGTGCAGAGCCTCCACGAAGACGACTTAAACGTCTCCTACAACGCCTTGGACGAGACGGTGGAGCTCAGCAGGAGCTCCTTCACGTCGATAGACGTCAGCAGAACGTCCTTCTCGATGGAGAATGAGCTATCGAGCACTCCAATGAAGATCCAGGCGAACCCCCCGAGGCCCCGGATCACCAGCCCCCCAGATCCTCCCTCCCCCGACGAGCGCACCCCGAAGATCGTCGGGGCCTTCCTGAAGAAGCCCATCGAGGTCGAGGACACCTCCATCGACTGGATCCCCATAACCGGCAAGAAGCTTCCCCGCAAGCACTCCTTCAAGAAGCTCCTGTCAATCCTAACCGGTCGCAAGTTCTCGAACAAAGGTAGCAAGCTCTTCTGCTCGCAATCCCAGACGAATCTCCCGGAGGAGACCTCCAAGGAGCACCACGACTCCGGCTACGACGAGAAGTCCTCCTCCACCTCGTCCCTAACATCGCTCGCCTCCTTCACCGACATCCTTCAGCACCAGGAGACCTACGTCCCAGACGCCGACAAGCGCACTGTCTCCACATTTCAGGCCCCGAAGGAGACGGAGAACAGTCTAAAGACCGTGGAAGACGACATCTACTCAGACACGCTGAGTGTCACCTCCAAAAAGCTCGTCTTCGAGGAGATCCCGAGGTCCGAGGTGCGTCTCTCCCTCGGGCCCAGCTTCCCTCTCAAAGCCACGATAATGCGCCAAGCGAGTGGTTCGAGCATTGCTTCGGGCGACATCAACGACTTCCATTTGGACAGCGACAACGACACGCCTGTCGCTTCACCACTCCCCAAGCATCCTTACGTCTCCTCCAAGGACAACCTCGACGACTCCGCCGGACTGTCCTCCGAGGACGTCACCCAAGTCGAGCTTCGGAATCACTCGTGGAAGTTCATAGATGACACGCTGTACGACACACCTAGAAGCTATCTCTCAAGGTCGGAGCCCGGACTCTACAACTCACCGCGGAGGAGCAGCAATTGGTCCTTCGAGGCGCATGTCTATGACATTCCCACTGTCAAGGTCCCCCCGAGACCCAAGTCCAGTGTTTATGAGGACGCACTTTCGTTGAAGAGGAGGAACGCTTACGTGGGGGGTGCAGCGGTCACTTCTGTGCGATCGGAGTTCTACGCTTTTCAGCAGGAGGAGGAGCCGCACTACGCGACGGTGAAGCCGAGGAACATAAAGATACTACCGAGCAGGGATTTGCTGAGGTCCATGGGCGATATATCGCCGAATTGCCGGGGAGGAACGCCCCAATATCGCGCTTTTAATCGGCTCGCGGGGTTCTAGGGGGCTGGAGGCGAGTGACGTGAACTAAACGTGAAAAATCGTTTTTGGATTTTTGTTTTTGGCGAATATCTCGGGATCCGACGGAGATAGATATATTTTCAATAGAACCTTTTTTGTAGAGAAGAAAGAGATCTACAGAAAAGATTTATACGAAAATTTTGCTATCTCCCCTGGATTCTGAGATATTCAGCAAATGGTGTTGGCCAGAAATTATTTTTCGTGTGAATCGGGACGAACATCTCGGAATTGTCGAGCCACGCGACAAGTTCTTAGAGCTTTACAAAGTACTTTCGTGAGAGAGGGAAGAGGTACTAGTCTTTCGTATTTGGAGGGTCAAATACTCGAAGTTGAACTGATGTATCCAGGGGGAAAATTCATGTCACTTGTTAATGGAGGAGGTTCGACCGCATTGATTTCCCGGATTTAAACTCAATTTGGGGGCTTTTTGGGGTGTCTGTAAAGTGACAGTTCACCAAAGAGAATGTTCAACTATTCGTGAGACTTATTTTTCGGATTTTCTCACGTCTCGCGTCTCCGGTATTTGCACACGCGAATAGCTGACGAGAGCGCACCGTTGATTTTCGGGAAGAGTTTGATCCTGTGGATTCAAAGCGAGTTTTTAATGTTAAGAGTGTAATTTTAAATACTTGAAAGCCTCAGCACGACTATTTGCTGCAATCAAAGACATCGTTTCGTTTTTCTATTGAAAAATGTAATAGATGGAGTGATTTAACGATAAAAATGAGAGATATTTCTCAGGACGAGCTGCATTTCGATATATTTCCTGCGATAGAAATGATAATTTGAGAATTAACTGGTTAATATTTTTTGGAAACCGTCTGCGTTGAGACAGACGTGGAAATTCCAGAATTTGCGGGATTCATTTAAGCCCTTGAAATCATCAAGTTCGTGAGAACTGGGCGAATTTTTTTAAGCGCAAGCCGAGTTAATCCTCATTTGTATTCGATGAAGGATGATTTCGTGACGATACGATATTAAATATTGTACATATCAACGTGAAATGTTACTCTTAACGGTTTTGATTAATTACTTGCTAAGTGCGTGATAGAAAAATAGAAATTGGATCCAATTTTATACGCTGAATGCATGATTTTTACATTGCTACTTAAAAGTACTATCATTATGTCAATTTACGTTTTCACCGGGGAATTTGAAGAAAGTGGGAACATTTTTTAACGATTGTGAAAAAATATTGTGTACTGTAGCATGTAAAGAAGAATTATTAATAAAATTTACACGTGTAAATATGAAAACGGATTTTTTTCATTCATCGAGAGCTATTTCATGAAAATCAAATGGAAATACCCTCCTATTAATATTTGCAAGTAGAAATTTCTAGTCCCTTTGCTGGAATGCTTGGAACATGAAAAAAAAAAATTGAAGAATGAAAATGAAACGTCAAATGACGTTCCAATAATGCACCTTGAATATTGACTTATATTATCCCCGTCCCAGGTTTCCAATGAGAATCTCGCATTCCCCCGAGTTCGAATGCACATTGAATGCAGGCATGCAAATATACAAAAGCATAGCATGCACTTTTGCATTCCAATGAGTTCAGGGCTGACGTGATATTACACGAGGTAAAAAGCTCTCTAAAAAAAATAATGTGACGTGTAAGCGAGGTACTACACGATGTTTATACTCCTGAGTGGTTTAAAAGGGCTTCTCCAAGTTTTCAGACGCCGAGAGAGTCTTGAAAATTATCCAGACAGGCAGGCGCAGCCGCCCGTCATTCTTGCTAAATTAAAAACTAAAACTGTACTATCCGGGGAAAATAGACGATATCATCGTCCGCAATTTCCAAATTGGGGAATTAATTAAACAAAACTGAATTGATGGCGCGATCATTAAATCCTCCGCCAATTCCCTCATTTCTATTTCTCGTAATATGGGATAGTCGTATTCATAAATTAGAATTACCGTTAAATTTTGAAGCTGTCGTTTAATTAACACGAAAAAAAAAGAAAACTAAAATGAAAAAATAAAATATTCAATTCTGAACAATTTCATTAATCGATAATTTAGGTAGGAATCCCTTTCAAAAAATTACATCTATTTACTTAACGGAAAATTCACAGTCCCCCATTATCAAATATTTAATTAATCACCAATCGCAAATCTAAATTATTAATCCCATCCTATTTTTATATTTTAATGAGACTACTTAATCCTTCATCAATGAAAGTCGCAAGTTCCTTTAATATCGGCCATCTCTGCGCGTAATTTCCCATCACCGATTCAGAGGCGAAAAATGTGCAATCGCGAGGGAAATAAAAAAAAAATTCACCCCCCGCAACAGCCAATAAACTCCAATCCCGATTCTACGATTATTCTCGCTCGACTGTTAGTACCAATTAATTAGGCAGTGGAAAGGTCAGAGCAGGTGATTCAACAGCAACTGCTGAACCATTGGTATAGGTTTGTCGTTTAGGTTTTCATGCAGCCAGGTCTAACGACGTCGTCAGACCCATCCGCGTCACCACTTTTTTCTCCCCCCCTCCCCCCCTTGAGATGCCGAGGATCACACCAGACATTTTCCTCCTTCACTTTATAGCACATGAGGAAATGGCTGGAGAAAATAAAGAAGAAAACATGAACGACGTGATGAACATAATGAATAAAATTGCCGGAGGGAATCCAGAGACAACTCTTATTTCATAAATTCAATTAAGAAATAAGATTTTTATGCAGCTTGTATTTATGCTTCTTTTACCGTAATAACTGATGAAATTTATTTGAGAATTGTGGAGGATAAATGGAGGAATTACTTATATTTGTCCCATTTTTTTCTGGCAGAAAGATGACTTTAAATTTCTTTGACTTGACAATTCATCACAGGGATGGGCAATAATATTAGATTTTGACAATACTAAAAAGGGATTATCCATTAAATTGCTCAAAGTTCAACTATATTTATAAAATTATAAAATTGATAAAATTTATCAACTCAATTTTGCGATTAATGGTGAATTTTGAAATGTAATTTTTAGTTAACAAACCAATTCCAAATTTAGGTACATGATTTTTCGATTATCCAAATAATCGCCCATCCTTCCACCTAAATTATTGGTTGATAGAATATTTCGAAATGTAAATGTACAAATTGATGATTAATTTAATATTTAAAATTTCAAAATTTATGTTAAAAATTGACAAAATTAAATTTTAAATCTCCTCGTTAATTTCAGGTAATGAGATGTTTTAATTACTCTTCGAGCAACTTTATACTGATTCAATCCCAATGTCACTGCATTCCCTCGCGAAACTGATAAAAATAACTCGTTTAGATTATCTCGGAATAAGACTAAAGTACGAGAGCCATTATTATTCGCGAGGCGTGATATTTTCCCCCGGGAAATGCAGTTAATAATCACCTGCCCCCAGTTATTACACCGCTTTGGGTCTTCAGGGAAAAAAAATACAGAAAAGAGACCAAACGTACGATTTTTCCCTTTCTTTATTGAATTTTCGGAGCGTCTCATGCGCCGTATAAATACAGAAAAATGCTCTCCACCGAGAGAAACGTATAAATATGAGGTTCACATGGGGGAGAGAGAGCCAAGGCAATTTTCCGGGGTGATGGTGTGGAAAATTGACGCGAACGTCCATCGAAGAGGTGACCCAGCCACGTTATAACTCCAATGTTCTGGGTACATACACCCTTTCGTCGCCAGTTAACCGTGTACAATGTCTTTTTATTCGAATCCCAATTGTGCAAAGTGTCTCGGATGGCTCCACAGGTGCTCAATTCTCAACATTCGCTCTGGAATTGCAAATGTTGCAGTGGAATTGCTCGATTCCGTCGAAAAATGCAGCTCTTCCTCTTGAAAATCCTCAGAAAATAATCTGTATCAAGAAAATTCGTTATTTCCCCAGTCTCCACTGAATAATTAAATTCAAGAAAGTGGAAAAAGGTCTCCACGTCGCCAGCTGATCGTGCACAATGTCTTCTTATTCAAATTCCCAATTCCATTTTGTCAAAAAAATTCACAAAATTCATTTCAAAAATTAAAAAAAAAGAAATTTTAAAAGTTAATTTTTTTTTCTCAATCCCAATTGTGTGAAATGTCCTGGATGGATCCACAGGTGGAATGGAATTGCCTAATTCCGTTAAAAAATGGAGCAGTATCAAGACATTTCGTGATTTCCCCCGTCTCCCCTGAATAATTAAATTCAAGACCTGAATCCCCAACAATTCCAATCCCCCAGTTCAAGGGCGACGCTCTAAGCACACGCTTTTCAAGTTCGTGTTGAACTCGACTCCTTCGGGAGTGAAAAAGGAAAAAAGTCTGCACGTGATGCAACTAGAATCGCAGCAGCGACTGCAGGGAAAAGGAAAATAAACTCCTGCCACAATCATGCTGAGGAGGGTTGTAAAGAAAGCAGATATAAAATTCAACTGCCCCTCGTAAATCCATCAGGTGAGGGGAGGGTTAGCACTATTATACGTCCACACGATACCCCGTAGACTGGCTGCTGATGAACGGCACTCAACACCACTTTTCTTTCCTCAGGTATTTGTTTTACTCCTCGAGGGTCTTTTCAGTCTGCCTCGAATTGAAGGAGTATCACTAAGTACGTGGTCAAAAGGGATGCTATCTGTGGAAGAAGACGCTTGACAATTTATGTGGAACACTTTAAATGCTACAAATAAACGAACGAACAATGAATTTCAGGAGAAAAGGGTCTGCTGAAAATATCTGAGGACATTTTCCCCTAAAAACTCTACTCTTCATTCTTTATCTCATTAAAAAGATAAAGAATAAAGAGTAAAGAATTTTTTTAAAAAGTGACAAATCCATTTGCTCAAATGAAAATGAAAAATATGGATGGCAATTGAGAAATAAATAGTGCAGAGTGAAAAATAAAAATCTACTTCCCCAAAATTGGAATTATTTTGTCGTGAATAATCTCCGGAGTCTCGTGCACTCCAAACAAAATTAGGGGCGAAACTCCAGTAATGTTCTGGGAGAATATTTTTCCACCTGTAATCCTTCACGAACTCCTAAATCTCAGTCCCACTCACGCGTATCCCATAATCCCGCAAGAAAATCCGTTCGCATATACGAAAGCGATATTATATCTCGATACACTCCCTCGTATTTCCCGCAGTTTCACATTTTCGGATATATCCGTATTTTTGTGATTACAATACCGATGAATTCTGTATTTTATCCGAGGAAAATCGAGGGATTTTCAATCGTAAAAGGTGCAAGGCAGGCTCTGCCGCGTTGTAATTCGAGAAAAATATTTTTACGTTAGTCATATTTTAGCGTGGGTGGAGAAGACAAATAACTTTTCTCATTTTTCGGGAGTATGACTGTGTACGGAGGGAGATTATGGAATCCAATTTGGTTTTTTATGGGTGAGAATGGATGCAGGGGAATTTTTCTATTATAATTCAACTTGTACTCTTCAATTTTAGAAGTGGAATGAATTAATATTTCCAGTGGATTCCTAACATTTTGTAGCTGACAGAATAAACGGAAAAGAATGGAACAAAATAATCTAAAAAAATGGAAAAATGCAATTCAAAAAATCAAATAAAATGGAGTAAAAAAATACATTCATTTGCTCACCGAGCTCAATAACGGCAGATTAACATCGAAGCACCCGGCGGCGCAAAAATGAAGTCTTCGATTCCTCAAATGCATCAAAGTATCCACAGCCTGTGGACGATAAACCCCCATTAAAGTATCGACATCCCTCATTAATTGTTTCCACGTAAATAAAATTATTGCATCGATTACCATGTCTCTATTCTGTGTGTACAGCAATCGCTTCCACGAGAGCATAATATAAGCCATCATGCTGGCCTGCAATGAAATTCAGTGGGTCAATACCTCGATTATAAACGAACGAGAAATTAAAAACTCTCGATGTTCATCGAAAAATTCCGGAGATTCCAGTGCTGTTTGTTTTCTCGTGTGTCAGGGGAATTTAATGAGAGCCCGGGGGTATCAATTTATGAAATTGAGGATTGAATCCCGAGATTGTGAAGAGGATCGATGACTATACCAAGAGCTGGATGAGTGGACATCGCGATAAATTGTTTTTTGCGTTGATTTTTCGAGGGATTAATTTTTCGAGAGTTTGAGAATTCGCGTTGTGAAGTGAATAAATAAATAGATTATTTTTTACAACGGGATAAATAATGAATGAGAGGACTAATTGTCACAGAGTAATTCGATCTCAACCCGTTAATTCATCACACAGACAATTAAACATAAATAAATTAAACTGATGGGGCGTTGGAAGAATTTAAATACTATTTTATTGTAAAGCGGTCACATTTCGTTGCTAATTACAACTTCCTCAGGCTCTTGACAATTCTAATGCAAAGCCATATTAATCAATTAAAAATAGCAAAACCCCAATAACAACACGAGGATTTGGAGCAAGACATCACAGCAAAAACGAATTTCTGAATTTCGCACACCTTTCGTAGACATTTTTCAGACACTAAAAAATATCTGAATAGAATGAAAACATCTTAATTCATGTTTGAAATTCAGAAAAATTTTCCTTTTAGTCAGACGTTTTCTAGTGTCTGAAAAATGTCTACAAAGGTGTATGAAATAACTATCATCGATGGAAATGGATGAACATCGTAAATGATTTTTAATGCAAACCTCGCTAGACGCATAATCGCACGCATAAAGCAGCAAGATGAGTTGCCCAGTGAAGGCTACTGTCCACGAGAGCAAGCAGAATACAGGTGCCCATATAACTTCAGGCTTGAGTATCCAATCAATAATGAAATAAAGATTGAAGATAAGGTGAAAACTCAAGTTTGCGATCCAAGCCATGAGAGACCACGAGTGCATGGACTCGAGTTTTTCCCCCAGCACCATCAGGCTGTCGTGCAGACGTTCCACAGCTTTGGCATTCACAACGGGCAATATAGTTATCCACCTCGGTTTAACTGGAATATTCTCCTTGGCTATTTCATTGAGCTGATGGAAACGATCCCCCAGTAGCAGAAGAATTCCTGAAAACTTCACTATTGAGATTGCTGTGCCGATGTACATCATGAGGTAGGACATATTGTCCCACCAGGATTGAATGAATGCCCACATCCCGAGACGATTTATTGACAGACACATGACAAAACTCAGGACCAGGGTCACCCACACGAAAATCGTGGGTTTTCGCTCGGATCTGGCGTAGCCGAGCTCTCGGATTTTGTCGTCGTGGTCTTGAAGCGAATTCCAGATTTTTGTGAATTCAGCGCGGTAGTATAGGGCTACGAAAATATCCATTACTGCTACGAAGAAATTGAAAACTGTCTGGAAAACATTTTGCTGTGGTAATTTGTGGGGAAAATTACGAAAATGACATTATGCTCGTGTCGAATTATCTCTTAATGAGTGAATTGTGAGGGAAGTGCCAATGTTTTTCACAATATGTGAGTAGAAAATATTTAACTTTAATATTCACAGTTTAATGAGATAATTCATGTGAAAAATTAAGGAAATGACATTCTCTTCGTCAAATTAGGTAATTGTATCGTACAATTTTGCGAATATTTTATAAATTAGTAATCAACTTTGTAAAAGTGGTGATTATTATACTAATTAAAAAAATCAACTTCAGATATTTAGGATTAATTGTTTAATTATAACTGATAATTAAAAATGGCTTTCAAAGTTAAATAAAAAAGTAAAAAACTATGATTAGTCTGTGATAAACTTTTTTTTAAATTACTCAGTAATAATTTTTGCCGATCCCTGCTCATAATAACTGAATTCGGAGGAGAATGTCAATGTCTTTCACGACAAATTTTCTCGCCTAAAAAATCCTCCACAGCATTCTCTCATTTTCAAGATAAATCCACAATCACGAGAACCATAAAAATCGCCTCATGTCGGATACAAAAAATTTACCTTGACAGTTTCAGTGTGACCGAGCAGGGGGCTCCCCCGATCCACATGATAGAAGCTCGCCAATACCTCATAGATAATCCAACAATAAAGCCCCAGCCAAATAAACGAGAATATCGCGTTGCGACAGGAGGGAACGAGAATGTCATCAGCGAACTCGTAAGGTGCAACCCCAAATATCCTGAACACGTAGACGAAGGGACAGACTGCGGAGTACAGTGGTGACTCCGGTCCCCGGTAAATCGTCTGGGATTTCCCCGATTTCGTCGTGGTGGTCGACCCCTCCAGGACCCCAACCCTCCGCATCTGCATCCTCCGAAAAAAATTGATGAGACAGATATTTAAAGCGGAATAATTGTAATTTTATTCGAGACGAGTTGCCTCATCTTCCCAAGAATGGGTTAATTAATTGGCCAGAGATTTCCTCGAACACTTGGCGGAATGTGCAGCGGTGGTCTCGCGTGTGTAAGTGAGGGCATGGATTTTACCCTCAGGTAGTATCAAGCCTCGGGAGGATAGCACTCTACGGAGGACAATAAATTGATGGGATTTGCCTGGGTGTTGTGAACCCACGGAACTCGTGTTAGAGTCATTAGTTATCACACGATACAAAACTATTGTGCAATAGTGCGACGTTTTATCGATTTTTTGGGGTAAAGAGAGGTGGGTAAACAAACAAAAGTGTCGGGAAGCGAATTGCTGTGATTATTAAAAAATATGAAAAATTGGAAAACATGTTTTTTAGAAAAATTCATTGAGGGAAGTCGATGTTTTCCTGGTGACAACACTAAACTTTATAAATTTTTTGTCATCTTTAGAATATTTTTAAGAAAACGTCACATGTATGAATTGAATAAAAAAATGTAAACAGTAATAATTCAATTAAATCACTGTGATTATTGAAAATATAAAAAATTGGAAAACACGTTTTTTAGAATTGACCAAAGGGAGTCAATGTTTCCGTCATTCAGTGAATAAAAATAATTATTCAACAATTGTTCTCTCAATGCTTCAACATTTTAATGATCTAATTCGTGAATTTAATGGGATGACAAAAATAAACTAAACTTCACAGATTTTCTGTATTCTTCAACACGAATTTCAAAAAACGTCACATGCATGAATAAATTCCAGTACTTTATTGATTTAAATCGTCAATCTAATGGGATGATCACCTAAACCTCATCATTTTTCGTCCTAAAAAATGCCAGTCATTAACGAAATTGAAAAACGAATAGCCTCCGAGATTTACCCGACGCTAAAACAATATCCCCACCAAGCGCCCCCATTTCCATATTTGCTACAGCATATTTCGTCAAAAGCTCTGAGCCTGCAACTCACCTCCCAAGTTATTCCACTTTCCTCAGAGTGTTTCCGTGGCTCACCCCTGTTTCTCAATTTTCCCTGTACCCTTTACGTCATGTCGTGGATAAAACTAAGTAAACGTACACTCCCCACCTGTTTTCAAGCGCAATACACAGGCGATATTACACGGTTCGATGCATGTCGTGAGGTGGTTGGTTGGTTACCTGTTGTTAAATATTATTCCACGTCATGTAGAATGAATTATTGAAGTACATGAGGACACACAGGGGTGTTTTTATCTGTCCTCCCTGGATAAACATGAATGAAATGTGCAGATTCATATTTTTGCAGATTCACGCTGTTCGCAAAACACAGAGGACAGTAAATAAAGCCCCGAGACATTAAATTATTCTCCCGATGAGGGAGAGCCCTCGAGAAGAATAAAAGTGATAAAGACATTCAACGAGATAAGGAAAATCAGCTGGGTCTGTTCTATCGCGTTTTACAACTTGCGGCATGAATTTTCTCGTGAAAATTAATGACTGCTCTACCCCCTCATTTCAATAAGAACGGAACTGGATCACTTCCAGGGGGAGTGCATGGAACAATACGGAAATGTCGTATTACCTGAACATTAGGGAATGCAAATATCACCTTTCAGTGAAAGCCCTCAGCTTCACTCCGCGTCGGTCTGAATAACACAATAGCTATGGTCATGGTAATACCGAATGAAATGAGGTGGAGTGAATTGAGGGAAGACCGACTCCGGGGATGGGCCTAGGACGTGTCGGCATTCATCACGAATGCCAGATGAAATTTTCTTGGGGGCTAGACACATTTGGGGTTTATGACGCGAGCGGACATTTCCATGGACCTGACGCCTTCCTGAGACGTCTTATTTCTTTTTATTAATAGTTAATGCTCGAGACGTTTTGTTGATTTACTAGTGATGGGGAAAAATATTGAGACAAGTCTTACTTACCTGCAAAACATTTAAAGACATTCATGATTCACTGAACACTCTCATCACTCTCTTGTTATAATTAACGAGTTTCTTCTCGATCACATGATCACATGAGTAGTTCACATGATCTCATTTTTATAACGAAAAATATGTACGCAAATTGAACTGCAATTGTTCAGAACGTTTAATAAAAAAAATCTCATCACTCATGTCCGGAAATTTTGTAATCATTGGAGGAGAGTTTTTCGTTTCAAGAAATGCCATTTATCAAGTGACTTTCTCCTGGTGCATCTTTAAAACATAAGGTGTCGGCGAGATAAATAGAAAAGTCAAGGATGCAATTATGAACCGTTCCCCAGAGCTCGGGAATATGTTCAAATTTTCGTACAAGGAGCTTTCGTGTCTGGAACGACTCAGTACATACCCGTAAATATACTCTACCCAGCGGTCTCTTCATCTATCCACGTCGAGCACCCCCAGACGAAACAATTCATGTACCACGAAAAAATAATAGAGGCGATAAATTCAGAAATAGGGAAAAAAGCTGAGAATTTCTCGCCTGGACAGTGACAATTACCGGTGTAGCCATTGGTGTTTTGACGAATAGTCATTTCATTCCTCGCTTATTGAACTAGTCGGAATGGAACACATGCGAGGGATTGATGCATGAATCTCTCGAGTCGGTGAAATGAGAATAATGGCGCAAGAACTGGAGGGATCAATTTGTCAAAATGCTTGGCCGAGGGAGAACTCATCGATTCTTGTAATATCGGTGGATGGCTCCGGAGCCATTAAGGACCGGTCATTTTTCAAGTACCAGGAAGTCTTACGCCCACCTTGACCATCACGCTGAAGCCTCAATTTTCCCGAGGTATTTTCAGGAAAATTCAGGGGAAGGGGGGGAGATTTGGATGATTCATGTTACAATTTTCCGCGATTCTTTATGATTAAGATCGATTCTTTCCCCTCTTCAGCATGATTCGATGGAAAGGAGAGTTGAAAGAATAAGATGTATGGGGTGAGCAAGGCAAAATAGGACAAATTTTTGGGTAATAATGGGTTGAGGAGTCTTTTGTAAATTAGATTTTCTTCCCCTCCTGACCCCTTATCAACAAAAATAAAGTTAAATTAGTGAAACTTTGGTATAATAATGCCATATGGGCTACAGAGTTGTACACAGACGCACCAAACACAGAAAAGTCACATAAAAAGGAAAAAGTCTAGAAAAAAGGAAAATTGAAAGGAGAAAAAAAATGAAAAAATTGGAAAAAAACTTCTCGAAATAGTATTTTTTCAAATAAAAAAATGAGACTCCAACGCCAGGACGACGTGGCGCAATAATTTCCCCTCACAACCCCTATATTTTTATTCAGAGAAATATAAAGAAAAACGAACGCGCGACGAAAGAATTCAATTGCCAATCGAGAGGGTCATTAATTCGGGAGGGAATGGACACGAGAGATACATCTGAATTAATCCACGCTCACTCCGACACGGTAGTGAGTAAAAAAGAATGGAGTGAGATAGTTGCAGCGATTTGTGTTCGTTATAACTCGCAATCAATCCGAAATAAATGATTTGCAGCTGTGACGTGGGAAAATTGCACGTTGATTTTTTTTTATTTTATCTTCCGGGGCGAGGTTCACTCGGCTGTGTCACTAAATCGATACCTATTAATCGACGTCGGTTGTCGTATCAATAACAAGAAAAAAATCTGAAATTACTCACTTGTATACACTGCGACCCGTACAACTTCCTTTATCGGTAATTGGTCTTGTTAATTGAGGTCTCAGCGAAGGGGTTGCGTCGATTAACTGTTGGGTGCACCTGCGGAAGTAAGATTAAAGGTTAATTAATTGGATAAGAAGGGGTGGCAAAGAATTTTCTTGGATTTTTGGGGAAGAATATTTAGTCAATCCATTTACATCTAGTTAATTACGCAATTATCTCCGAGAGGAGACGAAACGAGATAAGAGGCAAAAATGAGCTGCGGTTAATCATCAATATCTCCAGATTGGCAGAGTGAAATTCAAGAATTTTTCTTTCATTTCAAAGGGTTTTTTTCGGGCTTCAAAATGACCCCTGACCCATCCCAATCGCGGCAGGACCAGGTCAGGAGATATTGATGATTAAACAGATCCATTTTTCCTCCCCTTTTCCTAAAACAAGATTCAATGAGATGTGAATCTGCTATTTTTTCTTTCATCTCAAGCACGAGTGTTTCCTCATGAAAATCTCATTGAATTTGTCGTCTAGCCTCTGAAATTTCCACAAAAAATGCCCTTCGACTCTCACAATTGTGCATTGACAAAGAAAACCAAACAAAACCTACAAAATCCACTGGATCTGCTCTCCTCTGTTTTCTCCCCCTCTTTCCCCACACATTTCACCCCTCCACCACTTCACTTATTAATAATCACAATCAGAGAATGAAAATAATGACACACAACGACCCCCGGAATTCATCGCCACCCATTCTGTCCCGCGCACAGTCACTCGACTCGAATTTCCGACTCTATTTAGATTTTTTTTTGTTTACAAACGCGGATGGGCCACACGGGCCTTCTCGGAATTTCTCCGGCACGTGAAACTGAAAGAGAGAAAAAATTTTCGCGATAAAGGGGCGTTCTGAAACCGTCGAAAAGTCATAACGCATCGAGACGCCACCGACGCGTACTCGTACAGTCGAGCGTTGGTCCTTTGTTTTTGAACGCGCGGAACAAGAGAATATTACGATCGAGTCCTCACACGTCACGCATACCGTAAACATCTATCCGCCGGCTCTCGATATCGCACGAATTACGTTATTTTATTTTATTTTCATGAAACAGTCGTTAACGAGTGAGATTGATCATGTCGGGGAGGAAGAGGTCACAGAGTAGAGTAACTGATGCCATGAAAGAGGAGTTGTTGAAGTGGCTGTGCATACAGCATGCCACCAATGGACCTCTGAACAGGGATATCCTGAGACAAAAGGCTAATGAGCTGGTCAGGCATTTTGAGTTGACCTGTGAGTACTAAAGTTATTAATTATGTTGACAAATTAAAAAAAAAGGAATAGAACGGAAATGAACCAATTCCCCAAATCGTTCATCTCGATTTATCTCGGGAAGGAGTGGGTTTAGGAGGAAATGTCATAAAATGTTTTTTATAGCCGACAAAATTTCCCACAAAAAATGTCCTACGGATTTTTTTCGTAGGACCACTCATTATCGAGATAATTAAGCACTTAGAGAGAAGGAAAAATCGCTGTTTTTCGTTTTGTGTTTGGGAAGTCCACTGCTGAATAGTAAAGTTTATAAAATGTGAATTTATAAATTGAATAGTAAAATTTATGATGAACAAAAGGCTAATGAATTCGGCATTTTAATTTGACTTGTGAGTACTAAAGTTATCAATTATGTTGAGAAATTAAAGAAAAAAAATCACTTCCTAAATCGTTCATCTCGATTTATCTCGGGAAGGAGTGGGTTTAGGAGGAAATGTCATAAAATGTTTTTTATAGCCGACAAAATTTCCCACAAAAAATGTCCTACGGATTTTTTTCGTAGGACCACTCATTATCGAGATAATTAAAGACTTAGAGAGAAGGAAAAATCGATGTTTTTCGTTTTATGTTTGGGAAGTCCAGTACTGAATAGTAAAGTTTATAAAATGTGAATTTATAAATTGAATAGTAAAATTTATGATGGACAAAAGGCTAATGAACTAGTCAGGCATTTTAATTTGGCTTGTGAGTCCTAAAGTTATCAATTATGTTGAGAAATTAAAGAAAAAAAATCACATCCCAAATCGCTCATCTCGATTTATCTCGGGAAGGAGTGGGTTTAGGAGGAAATGGCAGAGAATGTTTTTTATAGCCGACAAAATTTCCCACAAAAAATGTCCTATGGATTTTTTTCGTAGGACCACTCATTATCGAGATAATTAAGCACTTGGAGAGAAGCAAAAATTTATAAAGTCATTAATAATTAATTCCAAGTGAAGTGATGCCATTTTTGGTGAGAATGTGATCAGAATGATTGAAAATAAACAACAGGGGATTTCTCGAATAAACGAGATGTCTAATGAAGTACAGAGTAAGCCAATTTTTCACAATTCAATTGTTAAATATTGAATAATCTCGTGTTTACCTCTTGTCACCTGAATTACTACAACAGCCTTGAAAATTCCGGTTGAAAGCCGGTGACAACTGGGTCCGTTGGCTGAACCCCACGAGAACACAGACATTATTATAATCCATAAATATTCACGAAAAGAATAAAGATTGATGATTTTCGGGAATGAAAAATCGGGGCCAGATGTGCTATTAATTATCGATTTCTGGGTAACTTCTGCATAAAATGGAACGGAAGATCCATCTTCCGATGGGTGAAATATGTGTGTATATATGCGGAAATGTTCACCGGATTCAATATCATACTTTCAATATATATTCGATGCATTTTACGAGATTTCAGTGGTGATTTCTCACATTCTCTAGTTTTATAAACGATATATCATGGCATTTCTCTCTAAAGTCATGACTTCCCAAAGCGAATTCACAGTTTTTTAAAACAAATTAATTTTCTTTCACCATTTTTCCATTCACTAAATATCGAGACCCATTTTATTCATAAAAAATTTTTCGATCTAGAGACACTTGAGTCTTTCTGACCCCAAACTGGCAGCCTTCAAACGTCCCCAGTCCTGGCTGATACTCTTCCTAAAGTCATGCCTTCCCAAAACGACTTCTTAATTAAAAAAAAAAAATTCTCTTTCATCATTTTTACATTCACTAGACATCGCGACCCACTTGCCCACCCAAAACACTTCGACGTAGACCTAAAAAACCCCGAATCCCCTTGCGAAAACGAACAGTTGTCTTTCTGACCCCGCAATTTCAGCGTTCAAATGTTCCGAGTCCTGGCTGACGCTCTTCCTAAAGCGCTACCACTTCACGACAAACCTCTCGGAGGGCGTTGGCCCTCTCTTCGACGACTTCCACACCTGGGTGACGCTGATCCGAGGGCTGATAAACCAGTACAGCTACGAGGACCAGTACCACCTGGACGAGCTGACGATGTACACAGACTTCCTCCCCTGCTCCCAGCTGCAGCTGGACGAGGTCCCAGACGCCCCAGTGGACATGTCGACCCTGAAGCTCCAGCTGACGACCCCAGCGATGCACCAAACGACAATCCTCCTGGTGTGCAACGCCACAGCCACCCAGAAGCAGAAGCCCCTGGTCTGCGGCCCCTACCCAGCGCAGGACAACGAGACCTACACGTACATCCAGAACTCCTCATCGAGGATCTCCGACGAGATCCTGAGTGCCTACCTCTTCATGCTGAACCGCAGAATAGCGGAGAGCAATCGGGTGATCCTCCTCTTCATGAGTCGCACTCGCATAAACGTCCTGAAGCTGGTGCACCTCACCCACATCCTCCCAGTGTTCCTCCCCTACCGCTTCCCCTCGCACCTCAAGCCCCTCCGCCAGGACGTCGCCCACTCCATCAAAATGTCGTACCGTAAATCCTACGTCTCGAGGCTGTGCTCGCCCGACGCCAGCCACTGGACACCTCAGGAGATCTCCGAGACACTCGTCAACACGTGGCTCCAACTCCCACGTGAAACGATCGTCGTAAGATTCCAGAGGACTAAATTCAGGGATGACGACTCCTTCACCAGCTTCGAGTGCCCCGAGTGGGAGGGACTGGAGACTGGGGTGCCCTTCGAGAGGTTCGTCACCTTTGACGATCACCTGGGGGAGACTGTGGGCCCTCTGAGGGACGACTTCAGGTTTTTAACGAACGTCAAGCACAAGTTCAATCTCAAGCCCTCGAGGATTCCTGTGGAGGATTTCCAGGGCTCTGAGTCTCAGCCGAGCACTTCTGGGGGACTCGGGGGTCTGGAGAGACCACTCGACGATGCTGATGAGGGCCAGGACGAGGCGAGAGTTCCTGTGGAGGCGAGACTTCCTGTGGGAATTTCTGCAAATGGGGGTGACGATCCCCATCGAGATTCTGGTGATCAGGTGAATGAAGCTGAGATGCCAGTGGCAGATGACGCTGACGCCCCCCAGGAGCCCCCCCAGGAGAGTGAGAATCCTTCGGGAACTGCTGAGGAAATTAATTCCTCCATCAACTGCTTGTCTTCAGAAACTTCCCTGAACCAAACCGATGATGTTGCCACTCCAGTCAGAAAACTATTCGAGAATGATTCGTCCCTGGTGGCAGCTAGTGAATCCATCGTCCAGTTTGAGGACACAATGAGCCTCAACAGTGTCTCCAGGGGTGAGTCAACGATGACTGAAGAGTTCGACTCGACTCTGGATAACTCTCTCGCCCCTGGAGAGGATCCAGAGGGGACTGCATCAGCCAGAGCTGCTGACTCCGTCGATTCTGGGGTTCCCGACTCGTCAGGGGGAGCTGATCACCACGAGGAAGTCGATGTGTCTTCGTCGATGGAAGTGGAAGCCCCTGGAACCCCTCCCAGGACCAGTGGACTATCAGCGGACGTTTCGTTCTCCACTTCGTCAGTAAAAAATGATGATGAAGACGAGGGGAATGAAGATGACTCTTCAACTGCTGTTCTCACGCCTCTTGTGAATGTTGAGGTTGAGGATGGGGCGTCCCCGGGGGCTGCCCTGGCTGCTGAATTCATCAGTGACCCGTCCAGAGAGGCTTCAGGACTCGGGGAGGTGCTTGACACCTCGGCTGAGGGGAGAACGCTCACAGCTGAGGCTTTCGTTGATGAACGAATTAAATATTTCGTTTCAACAGTTGATGAAGAGCAGGCTGAAGCAGGGGGTGATGGTAACGATGAAGCTGTACCATCTGAAGGGCTGGGGGACGACGAGTCGACGGAGGCTGTTGATAAAGAACCAGAGGACTCAGAGTTGGAGGATAAGGAAGATATTTCCGAGGGGAATACTGCAGGACCAGCAGACGTTGGGGGTCACAACGGGATTGACGAGGTATTCAGTGACGATTCCACCCAGGAAGCCCCCCCACCCCTCCCCCACGTCACCGATAAGGCAGGAATTTCCGGGGAAATAATCGTCAATAACTTCTCGGTTGATAACACGATCGCAGATTCAGAGGGTCAGCCCCTGGAGGTTTCGGAGACCGTCATCATCGAGACGATGATAAAAGTAGAGGCTCGGGACAATGATCCTGGGGAACTCGCCCAGATGAGGGCCCTGACAACGACTCCAGTCGTTCAGGATCAGTATGTCCTGGAGAAGACGAGTTACTCGACTGAGTCGGCTCTGCAGGAGGCCTCCAGGGAGCTAGAGGAGAAGTTGAGGGATCTGGAGGCCAGTGATCCCTCCAGGAAGATCTCCAGCTTCTTCGATGACGAGGACACCTCGGAGTCCAGCAAACAGAGCATCGAGGCGGCTTCTCTGCTTCGAGATCTTCTGAATGAGGCCAAGGGGTTGAGCGAGACTTCTGGCTTCTCCCAGGGGAAGTACCTCCTGGGGGAGGGCGAGCCCATCAACTACTACAGGGGGAAGAGGAGGAGGGAGGGGCAGGACGAGGGCGAGCCCGACAAGAAGAAGCAGATGCAGGAGAATTGGGCCAAGTGCTTCGAGAATTTTCCGGCTTTTGGGCCCTACAACTTCGAAGAGGGGGACGACAAGAGGGGGAACTTTGGGGCTGAGGTCTCCGCTGAGATCGAGGTCAAGAGCGAGGAGACGTGCGGCTTCGGCTGCAGCGAGGAGACCCCTGGACCCTCGTGCTCCTACAAGAAGTGTTAGAGGCTTGCTCAACTAGAATTTGGCGCGAGGAAAGTACAAAGTTTATCTTTTTTTTCTTTTTGTTTTTGAGTTGAGATTGCTCCAGGTGGGAACGTTGAACGTTTCTCACGAAGTTTTGGACGTTATTGAGATTTAGAATTTAGAAGGTGTTTCTAAGTGCATAGGATTGTTTAGTGATTGAGGGCGAGGGGAGACTGGACAGTTGCTTGTCTTTATGATTATTCAAAGTTTTTTTTTGAGTTTGCTGATTTTTTTTTATATTTCTTGAGAGCAGGGTTTGAGGTTTCTTTGTATTGATTACACGTTTGACAAATACACGAGTTTTTTGATAATTGAGAGGGTTTTTCATTTGTAATTAGTGCGGTTTACAGTTGATTGAGGGGAGAACCAGACAGGATGGAATAATTCAATTCTTAATGTCTTGCGGAATTTGCTGAATTTATTTGAACTATTTCCTGAATAGATGAACAATTAATTTCGTTAGATGTAGAAGTAGTCTTGTGGAATGCTGAATTACCAAAATAATTAATGCATTTACAAAAACATTGAAGATTTTTGGAATTAGTTCCTTGTTCGTTCGAAAAACAATTGAAGTTTAACAGAAACATTTTTTCTTACAACTCATAGAGTTCTTTGATGGGTTGACCCTGAACATTTTTAATGATTTTCAAAGCCTCTTTCAGTAACTCATTGTGGACATCCTCGACTTTTTGATTCGCTTGAATAATCTTCCACGTGTCTTCTTTCAATTTGAGGAAATTCTCAGCCACTTTTTGTTGGAATTCTCGTTTCTCGAAGCGTTCATTCGCCCAGCCACCTCTGGTAGTCAGGACGTTATCATCAATGGCCAAGAAACCGACGAAATCTGGGGCTGGGAGACCCCTGTCGGGCTCCTTGCACCAGGATAAATTCCTCTGTGTTGATACTGCTGCGTAGGCAGCACCTGAAGCTGCATATCTGTAAAAAAATCAAAGATAGTTGATAAAAATTTATTTCTCCATGAATGAGAAGGAATTTACAAGCTTTTTAAGTTGAAGAAAAATTAATTCCAGAATTAATTTTTCATGAATTTTCCTCATTCTCCTAATTTTGAGGGAAAAAATGAAATTTTGTGAGATTTAGAGTGAAATTTCTTTTCTTTTTTAACGTACCTATCAACTACTAATGTCGTTCCAGCTTCGAGGGCCTTTTTCATGTGTGCCACACACTCCCATCGATTCGCTGAGAACAGCAGGTGAATTGTTTCGGGTGGAAAATCGTTCTTATTCGACAGGAATTGGTCTATAACTGTTCCAATTGTTGTGCTTCGATCTACAAAATGATAAAAAACCTAGTGAAAAGGGAAATCCACTCGAGACAATTATAAACAGTTCCCCAAAGTGAATTTACAAAAAAAATAATTCAATTTCACTTGAGGTCACCTCAATTTTTCGCAAATATCTCGAAATTCACGAGAGATAGCGAAATTTTCATCATGAGCTTTTTTGTAGAGCACAGTAAGAGCCACAAAAAAGCTCCTCATAAAAACATCGCTATCTCCTCCAGATTTCGAGATATTCAGCGAAAACAATTCCCATGAAAAATAAAAAAATTCAATTAATTCAATTAATTGATAAATTAATGAAAATGGTCTTGAGAAAAATTGTTCTGACACTTTCTGGGGCATTGATAAATGCTGTGGAGTCAACTCACCAGGAAATCGTCGCTCTTCTGCTGGAATTCCCATGTCATTGAGCGCCTGGACAAGTTTTTTAACTTGAGTTGACTTCCCTGCCCTGTCACAACCCTCCAGAACCAATAAAGCTCCTCGAGGCATTTTAATCAACTCCGCTAGCAGAAGATGCGTTCAATCAAGAGTTCAGTCGAATTTTATCAGAACATTATTTATCAAAGCTGTGGTGAACTTCGCGTGTATTTTTATTGGTGGCGAACTCTGGCGAGTGGTTTCTGGCGGGAGATGACTCGCGTCGATCAGCTGATCGCCTCGGCACAGGTTAGAGCTTGTTCAAGGTCTGTCGGTGTTCGTCAGACGTAAATAAACGAGTAGTCAGAGGTAATTAGTCGGGAACTGGTGGATGTGAAGGAGAAATGGATGTGACTGAGGAAAGTCGACATAAGGACCCAGAGGCGGAGTACACATTTCGCTCTGGGAATCTGTTTATTGTCGATGGCACCGAGGACATGCATGAGGATCGTGGGGAGGATGTGGGGACGTACTTCTTCCAGGCTCTTGCGGTAAGTTTCTCGCTATTTTATCGATTAAAAATGAAAAAAGTGCAGGGTTTGCGTCAAAAACCACATTTTGATCTGCTTTGTCCGGCAATATCTCTTGACTCAACGATACGAATTCAATGAATCAGGGCTCATTTTGAAGCTTGAAAAAATATCTTCAAAAGGAAAAAACAATTGGGGAATTTCACTCTGCCGTTGTCGAGAATTCGCGGAAAGACTCTTGTTAACTATTTTTTGTTGCAGATGTACGAGAGAATTTTGAGGCAAAAACTCATTCGAAACAGGGACGATTGGATGGGTTTAGTGCTCTTCGCCACAACCGCAAGTGATCCTGAAACCAAGAACATTCTGACGCTCTTGGAGTTCGGGCCAGTCACTGTGGAAATGCTCAAAAAATTCTTGCACATAAGTAAGAGAATTATTATTTTTGACTACCGACCAGTTTTCACGGAATATCTCAAAATCAAAGGGAGATAGCAAAATTTTCGTCATGACCTTTCTTGCAGCCCTCAATGCGCTCTACAAAAAAGGTCATCACAAAAATTTTCGTATCTCCCTCAGATTCCGAGATATTCAGCGAAAACTCCACTTCTCCTTTTCTTGAGTTTAATTTCCATTTCAGGGGACCACAGACTCCCCTATTACGCGGGCATCGCCTCCGAGAAGGCGTACCCCCTCCCCCAGGTGCTTCTGCACGCGGCGCGTTCCTTCGACTCGATAAAAATAAAAATGCCAACTCGTCAATTGAACCTCATCACCTGCCACGACAATCCCCTCCTCGAGGATCACGAGGCCAGACACCGAGTTCGAGTCCTCGCCAAGGACCTGAAGGACATCCACGTGAGCCTCAAGGTCATCGGTTTCGGCGACTGGAGCTTCGACCTCTTCTACAAAGAGCTGGAGATGCTGGCGAGTGACAGCGAAGTGGAGCCCAAAAGGTCATTCCCAATCGACATCGAACGTGAGGTAATGAGGAAGCACGTGGAGCTGGGGCAGATAGAGCTGAGGATCGGCGAGAAAGTCCTGATGAAAGTGAAGCTCCAGACGTTCACCAAGACTCGTCCTGCGCTCAAAAAGATCGCCATGGATAAGAGGACCAATGAGCCCCTCGAGAGCTACTTCCACTACAAGAAAATCGACGATTTGTTCGACTATGGGGAGACGAATGAAAATGATGATGATGGCTACGAGGACATCAGCAACTCGAGCATCAGGAAGTGGCAGCACGTGGGGGGACGAGACATCTTCCTGACTCTGCAGGAATCCAAGAACCTGACCAAACTCAAGCCCAAGGGGATTGAGATCCTGAGGTTCGAGAAGGCTTTGAAAAAGCCTCCTTGGTATCACATTCCTCCTGCCTTGTTCCTGGGACTTTCTCAGGGGGCACCTCCTGGTGATGCGAAGCTCTTCGCTGCTTTGTTGGTGCAGTGCCAGGAGAAAGGTTCGTCATATTCAATTTAATTTAATCTATTTAATTTTACAGATTATTTTATTTTGTTGATTATTTTGTTTGTGTTTTTTACTGCAAAATGTTTTGTTTTAATTCATATTTTGGCAGAATAAATGCATGAGAGGATGAATATTTATTGGGACTGTGCAATATATTAATTAAATCAGTTGATATTAGTTGACCATTTGGGATTAATTTAATTGCAGGAGTAATGGCAATTTGCGCAGCAACAATCCGAGCCAATGGGAGAACGTATTTATTCAGGATGTGGCCATGCCCTGAGGACCACGGTTTCTACTTCTTTCGAATACCTTTCAGGGAGGAGATCAACAGGACGATGGAGGACTTATTCGAGAAGTATACGTTTGATAAACCCGTGTTCGATGATGAGGAGAAGCTGAAGATCATGGAGAAGGTCGTCAAGAAGTTCAGGATTGTCTACAGCCCCGCGATATTTCCTAATCCAAGAGTCTCGAAGCAGCAGCAGTACATATTGGCACTGGCTCTCAACGAGGTCTGGGACGAGGAGACGAACTTTGAGGACTTCACGAAACCTGCGGTGGATCTGCTGCAGAGGAACCTCAGTAAGAGAGGCCTCATTGACTCGTTCTTTGAGATTTTTCCCAACACCAAGGAGGATGATACCGGCCGGGTCGACAAGGTGTTGAGGTACGATAGGGAAACTGCTGAGAGGATGGTTTATGGGGACCTTAACAAGTATAGGGTGCCTCAGTTGAGGGCTATACTGAAGGCTCTCAACATGGGAATTACAGGGGTGAAGTCTGTTCTTGTTCAGAGGTGCGAGGAGTATGCGAAGTCCATGTAGAAGGGGTGGAAGTCCATGTAGAAGACAACAGGAGAGGGAAGTTCCATTCCATAAGGGAGAATGTCATGAAATTCCTATTTTTTTTTAAATTACATTTTCACAAATTTACGATGTCATTCATTTTCATGGATAAATAATGAAACGTTGGGAGAGTTTAAAGTTTAAACTTTAAACAATACTAATCTTTAAACTCTTTAACATCTCATTATTTTCCAAAATGTTTTCTCAGAGACAGAAAACTTTCTTGCAATTTTCTCTCAAAACATCTAGTTTTGGTAATAAATACAAAATTGAAGGCGTTATTTGAAGGGTTGATTATTCCAGGGAACAATTCCAAATGAAGGATAAATCCAATGGTCTTTGAGTGAATGCACCTTCGTATTTTGCAGTAATCCAATTATCTTTATTGAGTTTGTAAGTTTTTATAAAAATATTTATTATCCGTTCCTTTGTTTAAGTGTACGAAGGCAAGCAGTGTGTAATTTAGAGTATTTTTTTCAACATTGTGACCTACCCACGGGCTACAACCGTTATCTCGGCTCTTCGAGCTTCGATAGTGGTTGGAGGGAACCAGGCTGGACCCAGGAAAATCCGGTGGGCGTTCTCTCCGGTTCTTGTCTCTGTAAAAAGAATAAAATCATCAAGATGCGTGAAATTGCAGTTTTTTTTTGTGAAGAAGTGAAGGAGAGAAATTCACCTTTGGTTCGTAAATTTTTTGTCTAATTGGCTCATGTATCTCGGGATCCCAAGAGGTGAACTTTATGTAGTGAGTGTCCTCAGTCTCTGGAGGATCGTATACGTGGTCTAGGCTCTCTCGCACGCATTTTCTCGCGCGAGAACGAAATTCTTCTACATTGTTATTTAATCTGCAGGAAAAAAAATGGGAAACTTATTGTTTTCTGATAAATTTGATGTCGCGGTTTTCTCGATCGTGGAGTGAGGAGATAGACAGCAATTTTCAATGGTTCATAATCAATTTTAAATAATTAAAAATAGTAGATGAATAAATATTAGTCGATTTTCCTCATTCCAATGATTTGACGGTTTACTCACAGCGTGGATGCTTCTAAATTTGTTGACGGCAGTTTGCCATCAACTTTAGTGAACACTTTAACGATAAATTGCACTAATTGATATATCCTGTTGTTTTTTTTCCATTCTGGAAAACCTGCTGATGTGTTGAGCTCGTTTGTCTCTGGATAAACGAGTGGATGGAAGACGTTTGATTGAAAGGCAACTTTCTGCGAAGAAAGATCAATAATTAATTCATGATCGATTAAATCCGGAATTGGACAGAGATCTCAATCAGATTTTCTACATTTTCCATTCATTCTGAGATTTATATTCAAATAGAGTCAAGTCTAAATCTCGTTCTATCACTTTAGGCATGAATTCTCATTCGTTTATTTAATTACGTACGGGACATCCACCGTCCGGGAAATTCTCAGGCAGAGTCATTGTAAATCTGAAGACTCCACCCTGATAGAATCCTTGACGTATGAATAACACTCCAAACCACACTGAAAAATTATCGAAATAGTCTCATTATTGTGGGTGATTGGAGTAATCTCAATTTTTTATTCGATTCTTGATTATTTGACGTACAGAAAGAATTCTCTGCTGATGGAATCACGTAAATCCCCCGCAGATCCTGATTCTGGAGGACGTTACTGGTGAAAATTGAGAATTTAATAGTTTTGGCCAGTTTTTCAACACGAGGAATACAGCAGAGCAAATGATTTTCATTTTATTTGAGGAAATATTGGATTAACGCAGTAATAAGTGACTTTGGAAGGAAATGTCGGGCCTTTTCGCAGGGTTATTAGTCAAAAACCATTAAAAATCCTTACTATTCCGATAAAATACTGTACTCTTGCAGATAAACCACGTATTCACTAGTGCCTCCAGCCACATCAGGACGGTCGATCATTTTCATAGAGGTATTGAGCTGTGAATCTCCACCAGATCCACCTGGCAATATTTTTCTGAAGGACCCCCGTCTCTTCAGCTCATCCTCGACAACTATTCCCTATACGATAAATCCTCAGTAATCAAATATCCACGAAAATATATCTCCCCCATTACAGAATTGTCATCTCTCACCTTTGAGCTCGATCCTGCAACATTGACGTTCATTCTGATTAATCTCTCTCAATTGTTTCCTCAAATGTCTCCCAAAAACCCACTCAAATCCTCGCCATCTCCACCAAATCGGGACTACACCTTCGGTTTGTTAAGACAAACACTCAAATAGTTACATAATTTCACTCAGAGGTGGCCATTAGCTTTGATTTCACTAATAAATTAATCCAACCGAAATAATTAATTAATTCAACACAAACAGAACGAAAAAACCAGCGGTTGACGAGACTCGGGAAATTTAGGACTGTTTCGTACAACTTGAGTTTTCTGATTTAATGCTCAGGTGGCGCGCACCGAGTCTCTATTCGCTGCGCCCTCAATACGTGACTTCTGGAACTTGGAATAATACTCCGTATTTCACACACCCACACGAGATCCGATCAATTAGCCCCTCATGTATAGATATTCCAAATTTTTATTTTTTTCCTCATTGAAGTAGTTTTGAAGATAATTGCGAGCTAATAAAAAACATTTGCTAGTTAGCACTTTTTTTTAAATAAATTTTTGAAAAATCACCTCTGAAAAAAAAGGCGTTATCCCCTCTATTTCATTATTTACAAAAAATTTTATGACCAATCGATAGCAAATTGTTTGAAGATTTTTGCGAGTTAAGAAAAAATCGTCAATGCAATCCTATTATTGTGTAAATTAACAATTCCAATTTCAACTGAAAACCAGAGTTGATGACCAGAGTTTGTAACAGAGATGTCAGACAAGATATGAATGTTTTTTTGGGCTCAAATGAAAGAGCGG